CTGATTTCACTCTTCAGAATTAGGCAAAACCTGCTTAACTTGCTCCTATTGATGGCATTTTCTTGAATATCTTACAAATAAAAGCTTATTGTCGCGCATTCAGACCTGCTGTATTTCTGAGATAGATCAACCTTTTGGGTGTTTTCTCCTTTACTTCTCTTAGTCAGCTTTGATTGCCACATATTCTGACTCAAGAGCATCATGCACTACTTAGATTTATTCTTCTCAAACTGTTGCAAGTGGCAGAGATGTTCCGAATGGGTGGAACAGTTTGCTAATAATACTTAGGCACTTTGTGGTTGAATGATCATTCCCAGGGTAAGTTTAAAAACGGTCTCTATCAGGCTCTTTGCTTTCAGTATTCCATGTAAACTATACCTCCTGTTATTGTTGTTAATGACGTTTGCCGTGGTATTTCTAGACCCAAGCAGAGTATTCAGTTTAGCCTGACTAATTATTTGGAATTTTCAGAAGCAAAAAACTTGTGACAGTTACAGTGGTGTTAATCAGTATCATCTTTGTAGCACCCCATGACTTTCTTTCCAAAGGGTTTTATTTGTAAGTTGGTGACTCCTGAGTGCCACCATCCACCATCAGCACCACCCACCTCTGCTGGCAGCAGACGCAGGTGGCATGGCATCGTTTGATCAGTTGTTTCCAGTGAAAAGCTCCCGTTATGCGGCATGCCTGGAGAATTAGGCCATAACAACACTTCAGGCTCCTGAGTCAGACCCGGAGATAGTGGGAAAAGCTTGTCTGAAGGCAGCAGGGCCTCAGGGTCACCTTTGTGCATGCTCTTGTAGTGTCCGGAGTGGACAGCCAGTACATAGTGCATAGTTGTCCTGATGGATTGTTTTCTTGGAATTGGACATTTATGTTCCAGACCTGGCTTTTTAGTTTTTGGCTTGGCTGTGTTCCTTGGGTTGCAGATTTCACTGTATCTGAAGTCTCAGAGTACCGAGGCTCCAAGGATGCTGCAGAGAAGGTGGTGAACTGCAGTATAGGCAAGAGGTAGGTAGGACAGAGGATTTTGTCAGGGGAGATGGGAAGGAAGAAAATGCATCTGCTGCATGCTGCTCTGCAAAGCCATGCCTGGCCTGGGTTGGGAGGCAGAAGGCAGCGAGTGCCCAGGTTCTCTGTGGCAGAGGCAACGCGTCACCCTCTGGTGCCTGTCAGGTGGTGTGCGCTGTCACTGGTGATAGCTCAGTGGAGTTCCACCCCCACCCCGACTTCATCAGTGCGTAACCTGCAGTTAGGATAAATACTGTGTTGTCCGTGCAAATAACTGGAATCTTCCCTGGTATGATTAGCACACTCAAGTTCTATCATTCTCTTGGTTTTAAAGTTCCACAGAAATTACTAGCTGTTTACTATTATTATTATATTAGTTCACTTTACACTAATTTTATAGAGAAATCAATACTTTTTAAAAGATGTTTTCCAGCAGCCTAGAATGACTGCACGATTGAGCCGTAGTGTCTTGTTTTGAATGTGCCATTTCAACCCTTCAGTCTAGTTCATTTGAGAAAGCAGGATTCAGATTTCCTAAGCAGGCAGTGTATCAGCTCTTGTGTTTTCCTCAGATTAATTATTTTGCAGTGTGATTGTTGTCTGTACTTTTGGCCAACCATGGCCTCAAACAATTTGAGAAGTAGGTGTTGTATTTCAAAAAAGAGCCAACAGGAGTCTCGTTTTCCCCGTGCGTGAGGCAGTGGCCCAGGGGAGCGTGAGCGCTGTGGCAGTGCCAGTGCTGGCCTGGGCTTCGGAAGTAGCAGTGAAGCAGCAGCGGTTTGTTTTGCTTTATGCAAAATTCTATATTCAAATTTTTAGCAGAGATGAATAAATATTTTCCCTTCACTTTATATAAACAGAAATAATTTTTAGGGATGGGCAGGCTGGCTCATACCCACAAATCTCAACACTTTGGAAGGTCGAGGCAAGAGAATCACGGAGGCCGGGATTTTGAGACCAGCATGGGCAACATAGCGAGACCCCCATCTCTATAAAATGAAAACTAAAAAGTTAGCTGGGTGTGGCGACATGTACCTGTGGTCACAGCCACTCTGGAGGCTGAGGTGGGAGGATCAGTTGAGTCCAGGATTGGAGGCCGCAGTGAGCTATGATCGCGTCACTGCACTCCAGCCTGGGCAACAGAGTGAGACCCTGTCTCTTAAAAAAAAAA